CCTGAGATGACCTGACAGGGTGGATATGGAAAGGAGGTTTCCCCTTGTGGCCATTATCTTGTTACTGTTTATGAGAGCTTGTTGTGTACAAATTGGTTGCATCATTTAATAAGACCATAAGAAATTTGAACAGGAGCAGGCCATTCGGCCCCTTAAGCCTGCTTTGCGATTCAATCAGATCATGACCGATCCAACATTCCTCACGTTCACTTTCCTGCACTTTCCCCATAATCTCTGATTTCCCTGTTGATCAAGAAAGTATCTGGCGCAACCTTAAATCACACAAAAACTCTGCTCCAACAGCTCTCTGTGGCAAGGAGTTTCAAAGACATAGAACCCTTAAAGTGAAGAATTTCCTCCTCATTTTGGTCTAATTTGGCACCCCTTTAATCTTAGAATATGTTCTCCGGCATTACACTTGCCCATGAGGGGTAACACCCTGTCAAGCTCCTTAAGAATCGTATATGTTTCAATGAGATCTCCTCTCATTCTTCTAAACTCCAATGAGTAGAGTACCAACTTGTTTAACCTTTGCTCATAAGACAATCACTTAATATCAAGGATCATGCCAGTGAACCTTCTCTGAACTGCTTCCAATGAAATGACACCTTTCCTTAATAAGAGGACCAAAACTCTCAGTACTCCAAATATGGTCTCACCAGTACCTTCTACAGTTGCAGTAAGACTTCCCCAATCTTACTTCACTCCCTTGAAATAAGGGCCAACATTCCATGAACCTTCCTGATTATCTGCTACACCTGTGTGCTAGCTTTCTGTGTTTCTTGCACAAGTATCCCCAAGTCCCTGTGTGTTGCAGCTTTCTGCAGATTTTTTTCCATTTAAATAATGCTGTGTTCTTTTGTTCTCCCATCCCAAATGTACAACTTCATTTTTCCCATTTTAAATTCCATTTGCCAATTTTTTCCCAACTTACATAACATCACAATATCTCTCTGTAATCTGTTTCTATGTCTCATACCCTGCCTTTCCACTCATTTTTGTAATGTTTGAAAATTTGGCTCGGTACATTCACTTCATTCCTCCAAGTCATTAGCACAAGGGACAAAGAAGAGTGATGAAGGCAGAGCAGTGGACGTTGTCTATATGGGCTTCAGCAAGGCATTTAACAAGGTTCTGCATGGTAGACTGGTTAGCAAGGTTAGATCACATGGGATACAAGGACAGCTAGTGATTTGGATACAAAATTGGCTCCAAGGTAGGAGACAGAGGGTGCTAGTGGAGGGTTGTTTTTCAAACTGGAGGCCTGTGACCAACGGTGTGCCACAAAGATTGGTGCTGGGTCCACTGCTTTTTGTCATTTATATAAATGATTTCGATGTGAATATAGGAAGTATGGTTAGTAAGTTTGCAGATGACATGAAAATTCATGTTGTAGTGGACAGTGAAGAAAGTTACCTCAAGTACGATGGGACCTGGATCAGATTGGCCAATGGGCTGTGCAGTGGCAGCATTTAATTTAGATAAATGTAAGGTGTTGCATTTTGGTAAAGCAATTCAGTGCAGGACTTGTACACTTATTGGTAAGGTCCTGGGGAGTGCTGCCGAGCACAAGACCTTGGGGTGAAGGTTCATAGTTCCTTCAAAGTGGAATCGCAAGTAGACAGAGTAGTGAAGTATGCAGTTGGCACATTTGCATTTATTGATCAGAGGACTGAGTATAGGAGTTGGGACGTCATGTCTCAGCTGTACAGGTAATTGATTAGGTCACTTTTGGAACACTGCATTCAATTCTGGTCTCCCTGCTATAGGAACAATGTTGTGAAACATTAAAAGGTTCAGAAAAGATTTACAAGGACGTTGCCAGGGTTGGAGGGTTTGCGCTATAGGGAGAGGCTGAATAGGCTGGGGCCATTTTCCCTGGAGTGTTGAAGGCTGAGGGGTGACCTTATAGGGGCTTATAAAATCATGAGGGTCATGGATAATGTGAAAAGCCAAGGTCTTTTGCCCAGGGTAGAGGAGTCCAGAAGTCGGCATAGGTTTAAGGTGGGAAAGGTTTAAAAAGGGACATAAGGGGCAACTTTTCCACGCAGAGATTTGTGCGTGTATGGAATGAGCTGCCAGAGAAAGTGGTGGAGGCTGGTACAATTACAACAGTTAAAAGACATCTGGAAGGGTACGTGAATAGGAAGGGTTTAGAGGGATATGGGCCAAATGGTGGCAAACGGAACTAGATTAATTTAGGATATCTGGTCGGCGTGGATGAGTTCATAGAATCATAGAATCCCTACCGTGTGGAAACAGGCCCAACAAGCATCCCAGCCAGACCTATCCCCCTGTAACCCACCTAATCTACACAACCCTGAACACTATGGGCAATTTAGAATAGATAATTCACCTAACCTGCACGTTTGGACTGTGGGAGGAAACCGGAGCACCCGGAGGAAACCCACGCAGACACGGGGAGAACGTGCAAACTCCACACAGACAGTTGCCCAAGGGTGGAATCAAACCCAGGTCCCTGGTTTGTGAGGCAGCAGTGCTAACCACTGAGCCACCGTGCCGCCCCAACTGGACTGAAGGGTCTGTTTCCGTGCTGTACTGATACATCTCTCTGATTATGACTCTATATGTTGTAAAAATTTGCAGTCCCAGCACTGATCCCTGTGGAACCTCACCGGTCTGGGGCCGCCCGCTTGAAAAAGAGCCTCTTATCCCCACTCACTTTTTCCTGCAATGAGCCAACTCGCTATCCATGTCCTTAAGCTACTTCCAACACCGGAGGCTCTTATGACTTTAACCTTTTGTGAGGTACCTTGTCGAAAACCTGCTGGTTCCTAACTATCCAATCTGGTTGAGACTTAGACCATAGGATATAGAAGCAGAATAAGGCCAGTTAGCCCGTTGAGTCTGTTCTGTTGTTCATCGTGGCCGATCTGTTCCTCACCTCCATTTATCTGTTTTCTCCCTGTACCATTCGTTAGTTTCTCTGTCTGTCTATCTATCTGTCTTAAATATGGTCAATGACTTGGTCTCAACAGCCTTCTGTGGCGATGAGGTCCACAGATTCACCTCTTGGCTGAAAAAATTCCTCCTCACCTCAGTTCTGAAGTGTCGTCCCTTCATTCTGAAACTGTGCCCTTGGGCCCTCGTCTGTCCTATTAGTGGAAACATCTTTTCCATATCTACTCTGAAGAGCTGAATTCCAGAGGGGAGGTGAAAATGACAGCCCTTGACATGAAGGTTGCATTCGGCCGAGTGTGGCATCAAGGTGTCCGAGCAAAACTGGAATCAATGCCAATCAGGGGGCAAACACTCTGCTGGTTGGAGTGGTTGTTGTAGATCAGTCATCTCAGCTCCAGGACATCTCTGAAGGTGTTCCTCAGGGTAGTGTCCTCAGCCCAACCATCTTCAGCTGCTTCATCAATGACCTTCCTTCCATCATAAAGTTAGAAGTGGGAATATTCGCCAATGATTGCACAATGTTCAGCACCATTCATGACTCCTCAGATACTGAAGCAGTCCATGTTCAAATACAAGATCAGGACAATATCCAGTCTTGAGCTGACAAGTGGCAAGTAACATTCATGCCATAGAAATACCAGGCAATGACATCACCAATAAGAGACCCTTCAACCGCTGCCCCTTGACATTCAGTGGTGTTACCATCACTGAATTCCCCCACTATCAACATCCTGGGGGTTGTCATTGACCAGAAACTTAACTGGATCACCACATAACAACAGCAGATCAGAGGGTAGGAATACTGTCAAGACTCACTGGGGTAGCACACTGGAAATCAAGCTCTGCTGTTCCTGCAATTGTCAGAAAAGTTAAAAATGTTATCAAAATACGTAAAGTCCCCAACTTACCTGTTGGATAGGCCCAGGTTAAAAGAAAACAAGATAAGGCTCCTGTACTAAGCAAGAACTACTATTTATTATAAGTAAACAGATTCTACTTACAGGTAAACAACTACGAATGGTCGACATAATACCCTACTGGTTAAAATTCTAACCTTGTCTAAGAATTGCCTTTATTACATATACAGACAAATTACTGGGAACACAGTTCAATAGCAACAGTTCTCAGGATTTTATGGGATGTTCCTTTTGTTTCCCAAGTCCTTCAGTTCTCTCATCTTTTCCTCCGGTACTCACATCTTCACAGGATTTACAGAGGAACTGGTTCACAAATTACAAAGTCTCTGACTTATCTTTAGCTACAGGCAAGGTCCCAGAAGACTGGAGAATAGCCAATATTATTCCTTTGCTTAAGGGCAACAGGGATAACTCAGGAAATTATATGCCAATGAGCCTTACTTCGCTTCAACTAACCAGCTGTGATAACGTGACTTACAATGAGTTTCAGTAATTTGCTTCTGAAAAGTGCAGAAACTCTTTCCACAATTTTTGCTTTTAAAATAGTCCTTTCTCACTTCAATCCAGACAAAAATGCCAAAAAGATATAGCCTTTCACTCTTGACGTGGAAAGGTCACATCACCTTATCCAATTCTGCTACAAATCTTGCCATAGGTCACGTTGCTCAGACCCTTATAAGATTTCACCCTTTGTGACTGACCCCTTAATGCCCAATTTCTGTCAGATACATGGCATAAAGTGTTTCATAGGACAGATTTCAGTTTTTAGTTGGTATGACTCTTTTTTAAGTCTCATATCAGTTGCCTGCTAATTAATGTCTGATCTATGTTGATTTTAGTTTATTATATTAAAAATCTTAAAATGTGACACCTTCCCCATTGATAGCTTTCTATTGGCATCATGGAGATTCATTTCTTTTAAAGTTTTTTTTAGGGAAATGTAATACTCTGTTCGAGCAGTGGGAAATATTTGCCAACATCTAATCCTCAGTTCCTACTCCCTTAGCTAAAGGAGAAGTAAAGATTGTGGGTCAGACTGACATACATACTCTAGAAAGGTCCCTATTTTAGCTTTTTGATCAGTTTTCTCCACTATATCTAAGCCTTTAACTTCCTTGTTATTTCTACACATCTATTTATATTTCTGAGCCTTGATCTTACCTGGTTCAAGTGCAGCCCATCTCGGCGGTACAGATCCATCTTTGACTCTCTTTGGTCTTCCAGCTTTACAAGCTACACCCTTGGCAGCAGCATCTGCAAATGACATGCAAGCTGACATAGGTGATTGGTACTTACATTAATCTCAATTCCTCCACTGTGACTGTACTGTCAGGCTTCTCTTCTATTGCTTCTCATGAAAAGTTTGCAATTTTCTTCAAAATAAATAATGGGAATACAAACCAGGCTATAAATCATAAAAGGTTTTACATTTACATTCAGGCTTCAGCAATTATAAAATTTGTCGTATTCTTCTCAAAACTGCAATATTCCATTGGGGTTCATAAATCACGGAGAGGAAAAGGTACAACTCTAGTGAAGTTCAGTCACAAACAAATTAATTTATAGAATTTAACTATTTACTAACATACATAAAACTTGGTGTTAAATAAGAAAAAAGGAACACATGCAATTGCGTGGACAGCAATGCTTTGGCAGAAAGGTCCGATATACCATGGGCTCCATTTTATAACTATGATTGATCTGAATTAAAGTTCTCTTGCAAATGCATTATTGTGTCAACAGCAACTGTTTGAACCTGCAGCCCACATTACAGACAGGCATTGAAGAACCAAAGTGCCACGTGCTACAGTTATCTCACGAGAACATAAGAAACAGGGACAGGAATAGGCCATTTGGCCCCTTGAGTCTGCTCTGTCATTCAACAAGATCATGGCTGATCTTTTCACGGACTCAGCTCCACTTACCCACCCGCTTTATTGTTCAAAAAACGATCTTTGTCTTAAAAACATTCAATGAGGTAGCCTCAACTGCTTCATTGGGCAGGGAATTCCACAGATTCACAACCTTTGAGAGAAGTTCCGTCTCAACTTAGTCAGAAATCTACTCCCTTTCATTTTGAGGCTATGCCTCCCAGTTCTAGTTTCACCCGCCACTGCAAACAATCTCGGTGCTTCTATCTTATCTATTCCCTTCATAATGTTATACGTTTTGATAAGATCCTTCCTCATTCTTGTAAATTCTAATGAGTATAATCCCAGTCTACTCAATTTCTCATAAGCCAACACTCTCAACTCTGGAATCAACCTAGTGAACGTTGTCTGCACCAGCTGTAGTGCCAGTACATCCTTTCTCAAGTAAGGAGACCAAAACTGTACACAATACTCCAGGTGTGACCTCACCAGCACCTTACAAAGCTGCAGCATATCCTCCCTGTTTTTGAACTCCATCCCTCTAGTAATGAAGGACAATATTCCATTTGCCTTCTTAATTACCTGCTGCACCTGCAAACCAACTTTTTGTGATTCATGCACAAGGACACCTGGGTCCCTCTGCATGGCAGCATGCTGCAATTTTTCACCATTTAAATAATAGTCCATTTTGCTGTTATTCCTACCCAAATGGATGACCTTGCCTTTATCAATAATGTACTCCATCTGCCAGACTATTGCCAACTCACTTAACCTATCTATAAACCTCTGCAGACTTTCAGTGTCCTCTGTAAACTTTGCGCCACCACTCACTTTAGTGTCATCTGTAAACTTTGACACACTAGATTGGTCCCAGAGTCCAAATCCTTTATGTAAATTGTAAACAATTGTAGTCCAGCACTGATCCCTTAGGTACACCGTTAGCCACTGATCTCCAACCAGAAAAACACTCATTTATCCCCACTCTTTGGTTTCTGTTAGTTAACCAATCCTCTATTCATGCTAATACAGTACCCGTAATGCTGTGCATCTTTATCGTATGCAGCAGTTTTTTGTGCAACACCTTGTTAATTGCCTTCTGGAAATCCCAATTCACCACATCCACCGGTTCCCCATTGTCCACCACGCCCATAATGTCCTCAAGAATTCCATTAATTTAGTTATACATGACCTGCCTTTCGTGACCCCATACTGCATCTGTCCAATTTCTATCCAGATGTCTCACTATTCCTTCCTTAGTGATAGATTCAACCATTTTCTCAATTTGTATATCAGCAGTTAAGCTGAGTAATGCACATATAATTGGTTTGTGAGAATCAGAGATTTGTGAGAATAAAATCAATGTTTTTTAAGCAGGAATGTAAATTTATTCAAATACCACCAGCACATTTAGGTCAGGGAATTTACCAAATTTATCCTGGCCTTTGTTTTCTAAATGCAGATTTAAAATAACATTTCAATGCTAGAAATACAAATCAATATACAGTTTAGCAAGTACCTTATTAAAAATTATAACTTTCATTTGCTGATTGATTTACCTTCTATTTCTAGTATTTTCATTCCATTTTTTCAGTCAGATAATTAACAGTGAAGATGACTCTTGGTAATTTTGCACTGATTAATTTGCACACGTTGAAATCGATCCACAAAACTAAGATGGTAATAGAAAAACATACTAGAAATACTCAGTTCAGGCAACATCTGTGGAGAGAAAAGATGTTAATGTTTCAGATTGAGGTTTTCTTCACAGATGCTCCTTGGCCTGCTGGGTATTTTCAGCATATTCTGTTTTTAATTCAGATTCCCATCATTCACATTTTAATATTAGCTTTCATAAAACAAAAACATTCTGATAAAATCGGGGAGTCAAGGTATGGAAGAAGTCATTTCAGGGCAGTGATGTCGATAAAACATTCTGAGTTAGTGTCTCAAAATCCTCAATTTGTTACTTACATATCAACAGACACCTAGGTCTATACAACAGCAGTGACTTGTTAAAATTTGAAATGGATTGCCTGAATTTGTGGTGCAGGTAGTCATTCCTCTGTACCCATGAGGGTTCCATTCCTGACAGCCCCACAAATAATGAAATTCTTGAGTGAGGAGCTTGTTAAAAATAGGTTAAAAATCACAGATACATGATTTTTGCTCGTGTATATTGATTTTTGTTGTTAATTATTTTTTAATCCGGGTAGGCAAATTCACAATTCGTGATTTCAAAGCCTTCAAAAGAAAGCTCAATTATTATCTGGAGTAAAAACAATTGCAAGGCTATGAGGAAAGATGGGCAAGGATGACGAGGTGAATTGATCTTGCGAGAATCGGCATGGACACGACAAGTCAAATGTCTTCCTCGGTGCTATAACCATTCTATGATCCTATGAATAGTTCATTTAATTTGCTACTGTTACCATTGCAAAGAAGTTAAGGTTAAGGTTCCTCTCTCCAACAATGGAAGCAATTCACTTTTCTCATTTAGCATCTGGAAGAAAGGAGCAGTCAACGTTTCAGGTATTACCCTACTTCAGGGCATTCCGAGGAAGGGTCACCAGATCGGAAACGTTAACTCTGATTTTTTTTTTTTTTTACAGATGCTACCAGACCTGCTGAGCTTTTCCAGCACCTTCTGTTTTTAATACCTGAAATGTTGACTGCTCCTTTCCTCCAGATGCTGCCTGGCTTGCTGTGTTCTTCCAGCCTCCTGTTTGTCTACCTTGGATTCCAGCATCTGCAGTTCTTTTGTCTCTCACTTTTCTCATTTGCTTTGTATCCAGCTACAATCATTCAACCTTGTGACTGAGAAACATTTTCACATTCAAAATACGACACTTGTTCATGTCCCTTTCAAATATTTTTCATCATAATGGCTATTTTATGGCTCTATTCTAATCCTTTTGGTTATAAGGATGGGCACAACTCTTGATAAGTCCATAACTAGCTTGATGACAAAGCAGCAGGTACATCTTTAGATCACTTCTGATAAAATAATGCATTAATCAAGTTGATGAAGCAAGAAGTAAACTAAAATACATTTTTAAAAGGGCTATAAACAACAGTAGAATGATGGTTCTCCTTGTGTTTGACACTGGAAAAATAACACTAAGAATTTAAGTGGATATACAGATAACAAAATATGCTGGTCATTTTCTATTTAGATCAGGCATTACATGTCAGAGGAGTGAATGGAAAGGGATCTAGTTCATTACGATTCTCTACAACTGGAACGAATGTTAACTGATTTACTTAAAGCATCACAAGTCTACACAGTTGGAACTAATGGAAAGGATTCGATTCTCTGCATTCTCCAGAAGTTCTCTTGGAGATCCATGAAGTGGGATTTAATTGATTCTTTAGAATATTGCTCCTAAAACAGGTGTTTGACTGTTGCAACATGACTGAACGTTGTAAAGATGCAGCATGAGGTCTCACAGAATTACAGATTCTCAGACGTATTTTGGCACAGAAGGAAGCCATTCAGCCTATCATGTCAGCAACAGCTCCTTAAACAAACATCATTATCTAATGTCAATCTCCTGCTTTTTTCGCATACCCTTACACACTATTTCTTTCCAAATAATCATTCAATGCCCTCTTGAAAGCCTCAATCGAACCTGCCTTCACATCACATTTCCAAACACTTCATTCTATAACTTAACTATTTGCTAGGTGAGAAAGCTTTTTCACACACCACTTTAAAACAATTAAGGTTCCACTCACAATGTCCAAGACATCTGTACTAGGGCCAGAAAATCTTGCATTATGTACTTAACAATTACATAAGAGCAATGCAATATATATATATCAAAACTAGAATTCTAGTGGTAAACAAAATTCAATTCTTGGTTAATATTAACAACAAGTCGACACAAACATAAAATAGTATTTTACTGCTTTTCCATCAGATCTACCTTTTCACTACAGTTAACGATCAGTCAATTGATTCCCTGTGGCTTGAAATGTTGCTCAATTGCTACTTCTTTTGATTCTTTCATCTCCTTTCTTGCACACCTTAGTTCGTGGAGTTATGGCTGTCCTCTGATACCTCAACCAAGTGTTTAATCATGTGCGAGCCAAAACAAGTTATTTAACAAAACGAGTCATGACAGGCCCAATGATATCCCACATAATTACCACATAAGCACTTTCCAACAGATACTAGGGACTTGGCATTCAGTTTAGCACCACATACAATAGTTGGAAAGAAAATTTGCTTTGATTCCCATCAAGATGTTGATAAATAAAATTGTAGCATCTTTCAGCTTACAAAACCTAAGTTCATGAAGACATTGACTAATTTATTAAACAGTTACAGAATGATTGACTATGAAACAGAATAGAGTTGGAAATTACTGAAGAAGCTCCTCCCAGCTGATTGGTTTCGAGAACACTTCCCTCTCAAGCCACAAGTCATAGTTCATTTGGAATTCCTCTGGCAGCACCAGCTGCTGTCCCAGTACACTCTGCAAACAGTTATCCACTGGAGCAAAATCAGGATTACTTGGATTTTTGTCATATCTGCGACTATTAAAACGTTCAATGTTGGCTCTCAATGCACATTCCTCAGCCTGAAAATCCCACGGACGGGCGTCAAGATCTAAAAATAACATTTTTGAAATTAGAATACTAAAGTTAAAACTATTGTCATTTAAAATTGACTTTAAACGATAATGTTTTATTCTTTATCAATGATTTAGCTTTTTTTAGGATATAAGATCTGAAGTATTCAAATTTAGAAGGCCTTTGGCTTCATCATTCCAGAATATGAATGCCCATTAATTTCCCACTAAGTTTACAGATCTAAAAGAAAATTCCACTCAAAAATGCAATTGCACTTGAAATTCTATCATAAAGAATGCAAGAATAAAAATACAACACTACCTTCATATTTCACTGCAGGTCAGCCTAGATTATAGATTTAAGCATAATTGAGCTGGAAAATCAGTCAGCTCCGAGATTTCAGACTGCCTTGCGATACTATCCCTCCCACCATGAATCTCCACTGCAATCCATGTGAAAACACATGACACAAGTATCTTCACCAAACAGACTGCAGTGATTAAAGATGGAGTTTACAAACTTCTCATTGGGAAAACTGACCAATAACTCCTAGTACTGTGAGAAAAGACCATATTATCCAAAATGAATACTAAAACAAAATGAAAAAATTGGGGGTGCAAATAATCATGCTGGCCAACGAAGAAGTACTTCACTGGAGAAGGGTCATTTTTAGATGTTTTCAGGCAAGTGCAGTGTAAATACATTATCTTTTTTATGTTTTTGTATTTTTCATTAGGAACTGAAATGAGAAAAGGGCTGTTTTCAAAATCAAAGGTTGTAGAACGGATTGCTACACCTTACAAAAATCACATTACAAAAAAATCATCGTAAGTGGAGCTCACCCTATTGCTTTGTTCAAGCAGTGGAGGAGGTTGGTTGCAGATGGGATGTCACCAGGGTCTGAAATCAAAAGCTGTGTACAAAATGAGATTCAGCCAGAAGAAGTAGCTGATTAGTTTGTGGAGAGATGACTAGTTGTCAATGCCAAAAGCCATCAGTCTGCCAACAACTATATGATTGGCTCCTGGGTGGCTAAAACAAAGAACAAAGAAAATTACAGCACAGGAACAGGCCCTTTGGCCCTCCAAGCCTGCGCCGATCCAGATCCTCTATCTAAGCCTGTCGCCTGTTTTCCAAGGATCTGTATCCCTCTGCTCCCTGCCCATTCATGTATCTGTCTAGATACATCTTAAATGACGCTATCGTGCTCGCCTCTACCACCTCCGCTGGCAACGCGTTCCAGGCACCCGCCACCCTCTGCGTAAAGAACTTTCCACACATATCTCCCTTAAACTTTTCCCCTCTCACCTTGAAATCATGACCCCTAGTAATCGAGTCCCCCACTCTGGGAAAAAGCTTCTTGCTATCCACCGTGTCTATACCTCTCATGATTTTGTAGGCCTCAATCAGGTCCCCCCTCAACCTCCGTCTTTATAATGTAAATAATCCTAATCTACTCAATCTCTCTTCATAGCTACTGCCCTCCATACCAGGCAACATCCTGGTGAACCTCCTCTGCAGCATCTCCAAAGCATCCACATCCTTTTGGTAATGTGGCGACCAGAACTGTACGCAGTATTCCAAATGTGGTTGAACCAAAGTTCTATACAACTGTAACATGATCTGCCAACTCTTGTGCTCAATACCCCGTCCGATGAATGAAAGCATGCCGTATGTCTTCTTGACCACTCTATCGACCTGTGTTGCCACCTTCAGGCTACAATGGACCTGAACACCCAGATCTCTCTGTGCATCAATTTGCCCCAGGGCTTTTCCATTTACCGTATAGTTCGCTCTTGAATTGGATCTTCCAAAATGCATCACCTCGCATTTGCCTGGATTGAACTCCATCTGCCATTTCTCCGCCCAACTCTCCAATCTATCTATATTCTGCTGCATTCTCCGACAGTCCCTTTCACTATCTGCTACTCCACCAATCTTAGTGTCATCTGCAAACTTGCTAATCAGACCATCTACACCTTCCTCCAGATCATTTACGTATATCACAAACAACAGTGGTCCCAACACGATCCCTGTGGAACACCACTGGTCACAGTTCTCCATTTTGAGAAACTCCCTTCCACTACAACTCTGTGTCTCTCGTTGCCCAGCCAGTTCTCTATCCATCTAGCTAGTACACCCTGGACCCCATGCGACTTCACTTTCTCAACGTATGTGGGTATGAACGATACTGCCAGAAGCCTTCAGACCTCTGGAAGAGGGAGTGGTGTGGTTCTCTGCAGTAGGAAAAAAACCTTAATCCTACAGAAAACCACTTTATTTTCCCTCAACAGTAGCTTTCAACCAGGAACGAAGAGACTTTGCAATTAAGGTACCAGTTCACCTGCGCCTCCTGTGAAGACGTGAAGAACCACCTCGAGAAAAGAGATTGAAGAACTTGAAGAATAAAAAAAAGTGTAATCACTCTGATGGGATTATACAATAGCCCATCATCCCCCAACAGGCGCAGTGACAGTGAGGAACAACAATGTAGGCAGATTATGGAAAGATGAAATAACAACGGAGTTGTCATTGTGGGTGACTTTAACTTCCCTAATACCGACTAGGATTTTCTTAGAGCAAAAGGCTTATACTGGGCAGAATTTGTCAGATGCATCCAAGAGGGTTTCTTGAAACAGTATGTGGATAGTTCAAACAGAAGATAGGCCATACTGGACCTTGCTTGGCTAATGAGCTTGATCAGGTGACTGACCTTTCAGTGGGAGAGCATTTTGGAAACAGTGGTCACAACTCCTCAAGTTTTAAGATAGCAATGAATAAGTCAGGACCTTGTAGCAAGGTACTAAACTGGGGGAGGGAAAATTGTCAGTATTTGGCAGGAGCTTGGGAGAGTTAATTGGGAGCAGCTGTTATCAGGCAAGTACACACTTGATATGTGGGAATTGCTTAAAGACCTGTTGGTGAGAGTTCAGGACCAGCATGTTCCAGTAAAGAGGAAGGACAATGATGGCAAGGTATGGCACCCGTGGATAACAAGGGAGGTTGTGAATTTATCAAAATAGAAACAGAAGCATATTTAAGGTTTAGGAAGCTAAAATTGGACAGGGCCCATGAGGAATGTAAAGAAAGCAGGGAAGAACTCAAATAGGGAATTAGGAGATCAAGGAGGGGCAATGAAATGACCTTGGCAAATAGGGCTAAAGAGAATCCCAAGGCATTCAATACATACAATAAAAATAAGAGGATAACTAGGGAGTAGACAGGACCACTCAAGGATAAAGGAGGGAACTTGTGCTTGGAGACAGAGGATATTGATGAGATCATTGTATTGGTATTCACCCAGAAGAACGACGTGGAGGACAGTGAGATTAGTGTGGTGCACACTACTATGCTAGGGCATTTTGAGATCAAGAAAGAAGTGGTGTTGGATCTCTTAAGAGCATTAAGGTGGATAAGTCCCCAGGGCCCAATGGTATCTACCACAGGTTAGTGAGAGAGGCAAGAGAGGAGATTGTTGGAACCTTGACCAAGATCTCTGGATTCTGGCTAGCTAGTGGAGAGATCACAGAGGACTGGTGAGGGGCTAATGTTGTTCCTCTGTTCAAGAGGGGAAACAGGGTAATCTAGGAAACTATAGACTGGTGGGTCTCACATTGGTGGTTGGGAAGCTAGTGGAGGCAATTCTTAGGGACAGGATTTACAAGTATTTTGAAAAGCATGGGCTAATTAGGGATAATTTTTATTGAATCTTTCAGAGGTAACAAAGGTGAACAATGAGAGTAAAGCAGTGGATGTTATTTACTTGGATTTTAATAAGGCTTTTGGCAAGGTCCTGCATGATAGGTTCATCCAGAAGATTAAGTTGCAGCCCCTTGGATTCAGAATTGGCTTGTCTACGGAAGGCAGAGGATAATGGTGGAAGGGTCTTTTTCTGGCTGGAGGTCCATGACTATAGGTGTTTTGCAGGGATCCGTACCAGGTGAGAGGTACTGCATTTTTGGGGATCAAATGTTAAGGAAAAGTATACAGTTTATGGCAGTACCCTGAACAGCATTGACGTACAGAGGGATCTTGGGGTTCAGGTCCGTAGCTCCCTGAAAGTGGGTACTCAAGTAGACAGAGTGGTAAAGAAGGCACATGGCATGCTTGCCTTTATTGGTCACGATGTCATGATGCAGGTTTATAAGACTTTGATTTGACCGCACCGAGAGTATTGCATTTAATTCTGGTCGCCACATTACAGAAAGGATGTGGAGGCTTTGAAGGGGGCGCAGAAGAGGTTTCCTAGGATGCCACCTAGATTAGAGGGTATGAGCTATAAGCAGAGGCTAGAAAAACTAGGGTTGGTTTCTCTGGAATGGCAGAGGCTGAGGGGAAAGTTGATAGAAGTCTATCGAATCATGAGATGCATAGATAGGGTTGACAGTCAGAACCTTTTTCTCAGAAATGTCTCATACTCGGGGGAAAGTTCAAAGGAGATGTGAGGGACAAGCTGTTTTTACATAGACAGTGGTAGGGGTCTGAATGTGCTGTCACGGATAGTGAAGGAGGCAGATTATAGGGGCTATTAAGGGACTTTTAGATAAATACATGAAAATGCAAGGAATAGACAAAGAGCAGGCAGAAGGGATTAGCTTAATTTGGTGTCATGTTTGGCACAACATTGTGGGTTGAAGGGCTGTGCTGTACAATTGTTCTATGAAGAACAGCAATCCTGGCAATCAAAAGGATAACCTCAGCAAACAATGCGGACTGGGGACGCTGAAATTCATTCTATCCTTTCCAAATCTACTGGTATTTTCCAAAGATGTAACTAGTAGAGTTGATCGAGGGAGCCAGCAGACACGGTTTAGTTGGACGTCCAGAAGGCTTTTGACATAGTCCCACATAAAAGATTAATGTGCAAGATTAAAACACATGGGATTGGGGTAGTGTATGGAAATGGATTTGAAAAGTTGGTTAATAGACAGTATACATGGCTCTTTTTCTGAATGCAGGCAGTAACTAGTGGGATTGGTACTAGGACCCCAGCTATTCACAATACATGTTAGTGTTTGAGACGAGGAAAATAAAAGTAATATCTCAAAATTCATGGATGGCACAAAGCTGGGTGGAAGGGTGAGCTGTGAGGATGCAGTGTGATTTGGACTGGCTGAGTCAGTGGGAAAATGCATGGTAGATGCAGTAAAATGTGGATTAATATGAGATTATCCACTTTGTTAGCAAAAATAGGAAAGCTGATTATTTATTTGAATGGCTGTACGTTGAGACAATGTTCAATGAGATCTCAGTGTCCTCATGTACCAGTTTCTGAAAGCATGCCAGTGCAGCAGGTGGTAAAGGTGGCTAATTGTACAGGGCATTGGTGAAGTCACACCTGGAATATTGTGTGCAGTTTTGGTGTCCTTACTGGAGGAAGAAGGTTCTTGCACGAGAGAGAGTGCAGCAAAGGTTTTCCAGATTGATTTCTGAGATTGCAGGATTGATGTATAAGGAGAGATTGAGTCAGTTAGGATTGTATTCACTGGAGTTTAGAACAATGGTTGCATATCTCATAAAAAGCTATAAAATTCTAACTACACTAGACAGGTTAGATGCAAGAAGGATGTTCCCAATGGTAGAGGAGTCCAGAACGAGGACTAAGATGAAGAAAAACTTTTTTTTAACCCAGAGAGTAGTGAGCCTGTGGAATTCACTACCACAGAAAGTGGTTCAGGCCAAATTATGTGCTTTCAAGGAGGAGGCTGGAGGAATCAAACAATTTTGGGATGGGGGTGGGGTGGTTTGGGATTACGGAATTGAGTTTGATGATTAGCCATGACCATAATGAATGGAGGAGCAGGCTTGAGGAGTTGAATGACCTACTCCTGCTTTGATCTTCTATGTTTCCCTCCACCCATAACACCAAGTGTGAATGCATGCAGTTGCGTTTATTTGTATTTTTTAAGGGAAGAGAAGGCAAATTGGAAATTTAAACATTGTCTAAATGTCAATAGCTCATAGTTGTTTATCTGTAGGTAGAATCACAGAATCTATTAATTTGTAATAAATATTCATTCTTGTTGGGTAAATGTGACAATACTACGGCTTCAAGAGGTGTAACTTATTTTGTTTTTTTTAAAATGAAGGAAGGTTGAGGCAAAGGTAGTGAGCAGTCAGCTCCAGAGCCAATACAGTAAACAACTTCAAAAACAAAATTGCTGGAGAAGCTCAGCAGGTCTGGCAGCATCTGTGAAGGAAAAAACAAGAGTTAACGTTTCGGGTCCGGTGACCCTTCCTCAGAACTGATCGTGGCTGGGAAAACGTCAGTTTATATGCAGAAAATAGGGAGGTGGGTGGGGTAGGCAGTAAACGATAGGATAGAGCCCAAAGCGAGAGAAAGACAGTTGGACAAAGGAGTTGCTAATGATCAGGCTGGGAGGGTGACTAGTTGTTAATGGGGACTGTTAGTGACTAACAACAGGGCGTGTGTAATGGCAGGCTATGTGGGAACAAGGACTGGTGTATGGGGTCGGGGGCTGGGACATGGGAGAGTTTAGACCCTAAAATTATCGAACTCAATATTGAGTCCAGAGGGCTGTAGGGTCCCCAAGTGGAAAATGAGGTGTTGTTTCTCCAGCTTGCGTTGGACTTCGCTGGAACACTGCAGCAAGCCAGAGGCAGAGATGTTGGCCAGCGAGCAGGCTGGTGCATTGAAGTGGCAGGCAACAGGTAGTTCAGGGTCTTTTTTGTGAGCAGAACGTAGATGTGCTGGGAAGCGGACACGAAGTCGATGCTTCGTTTCCCCAATGTAGAGGAGACCACATTGTGAGCAGCGAATGCAGTAGACTAGATTCTGGGAAGTGCAGGTGAAGTGTTGCTTCGCCTGGAAGGTATGTTTGGGCCCTTGGATACTGGGGAGGGAGGAGGTAAATGAGCAGGTGCTGTACCTTCGCCGGTTACAGGGGAAGGTGCCGTAGGACTGTGGGGAGGTGTTGGGGGTGAAGGAAGTGTGGACCAGGGTGTCCCGGAGGGAACGGCCCCTGCAGAAGAATTCAAGGGAGGGGAGGGGAATGTGTGTCTGGTGGTGGCATCTTGCTGGAGGTGGCGGAAATGGCACCTGATGATCTTCTGGATGTGGATGCTGGTGGGATGGTAGGTGAGGATAAGGGGAACCCTATTGCTGCTGCGGGAGAGAAGGGAAGGGGTGAGTGTGGAAGTCGGGGAGATGGGTCAGACCTGGTTGAGGGCCCTGTCAACAACAGAGCTGGGAAATCCTCCGCTGAGGAAGAAGGTGGACATTTCGGAGGCTCCCTTGTCGAAGTTGTCCTCATTTGAACACATGCGACGGAGGCGGAGGAACTGAGGGAATGGGATGGAGTCTTTACAGAAAGTGGGGTATGAGGATGTATAGTCCAGGTAGCTGTGAGAGTCAGTGGGTTTATAGTGGTCAGTCGATCCCCAGAAATGGAAACAGAAATGTTGAGGAAGGGAAGGGAGGAGTCAGGGATAGACCAGTTGAAAGTGAATAAACGGCTTGTTCGGCCTTGGGGTTTATTTTTAAGATGTTGGAACTATAGAAACAGCCTTAACGGGTGGGGTCAAGCTCTCACAGAACCAGGATTTTTGGTTTTAGCTTTCTGCATTTGCTGGGATCTTTAAGCTGGAGTTCAAGCTCTTATTTCTCTCTCTGTTACAGCTAAAAGCTGGGGTTGTCTTCCTGCAGCTACAATTACATGCGAGACAATCTGTTTACTGAATTTGCCTTTGTCAAGGCTGTGTTTATGGGGTGTTACTGCATTGGAACAGTTACTGTTTAGTAGGTAATTAATGTATTATTCTGTAAAGTTTTCCAATAGAGTTAAGTTATTCCAATTTTTTCTTTCTTTTAACTATAGCATATAAATATAGTGAATTTTGCTTCAAGACCAATTGGAATGCATCTGGAATGCAATGCCTGGCACTTGCCTTTAAAATAAGAAAACATTAGTCAGTAGGCTACCTTCTTCATACTTTCAGGGGGTTTGGTCTGGTCCATAACAAAAGAAACCTGGACTATGTTTTTCATTCGTCAGGATCTAAGAAGATAGATGAATTGGGGAATTTAAGTGTCGTTTGACAAATCTTTAATTCTTATGATAACTCCGGGAAGAGTAGAGTTTGATATCCAATCTATCCCAACAATTTAAAGGACATCTTTCCAGGAAGGGAGTCATTTACAGGGCAAAGATAACATGAAGATTAGAGCAAAATTAATCATAGCATCAATCTTTTGATTTCTATTGCAAAAGAACTGAGAGTAAGGTTTATATTTCTTATTTTTTTACATACAAACATTAAACACATACCATTCCCATAAGCCCAGTCGTCATTCAGTCGATGGCGCACCTTCTGATAGATTGCAGACATTGTCTTCATGTTGCTCTTCCGCCATTGGCGACCCAAGTATTTGGTCTGTACCTTCAGCAACTTCAGAACATATAACTGCATCATGGCTTGTTTCACTTTGAGTGCTCGTTTCAGGATTGGAGCTGACTTAAATACTACCAGCATCTACATAATGAAAAACTAATATTCACTAAAGGCAATGAATGAGAGTCAGTTTTTAAAAACTCTCCTTGTAGAATAGCATTTTACACAATTTCTCACAATTTCTTCAACCACAATTTGGTAAGCACTTAAAATTCCCAAAAGTGTTGGCATGACAGATTACTGAATTTATTTTATATTTTAGGGATTTACAGCTGTTACTTAGTGTTGAATAAACATTATGGTCCATGGTGGGTCCTCATATCTGGAAACTGTTGAAAAGCCGCTGATATGATTCACTGACAAACATTAAAGTATCCACTGTACTCATCCATTTTCTTTTTAAAGACTGGATGCAATATTTTGTTAGTCAAAATACTTAATGTAACATTGTACTGTACAGAGTGCTGTAACAGATCTTTTAACAAGTGGACGACAAGCAGGCACGATAAATTTCAAGTTTTCAGGAAGGTCATTCTCCTTTTATTTTTAAGGTTTCACCGTTCACTTTCCCATTGAATCGGAGCTTTTAAAATCTAACAATATGAAACAATGGGCACCTACTTATGCTGGTGCATCAGAAACTGTACAATGAGTGAGCTGCTAGCCTGTATCAGGATTGAGGTTTTGCTCTTTTCATTACTACAGTTGAGTTTTCCCATAAATGTTTTATATAAAAAGAGGCCACTGCATTTACTATTTGAAATATTATGAATCGCATTTAAATGTACAATTGACATGCTCAGACGCACCATTGTCCTTGAATGTTTCCATTTGGTCAGTTTATTAAGGATTCGAAGGAGGTTTATGCACGAAAAGAGATTCCTCCAGCAGAACTGGTTATTATCTCCTGTTTCCTAGATGGGGTAAACAAATTGAATAAATGTTTGAACATTCACCCAATGTAACCAAACATATTAAATTGCCAATAGTTATGATGAGTAATATTTTTAACTTCTTTGGTTCTAAGGTACTGTAAAGATCGCGCCTTTTTATTTATGATTGTTGATTTAATTTGGACTTGGACTGTTTTACAGCAAAAAACGGACCAAGGAATTGCTGAATTTTGCAAAAGCGATTTATTGAAACTGACAGCCTACTCCTGCTCCTAGTTCTTATGTTCTTATGTTCTTATTCTAAGTCATGTTTACACTGATGCCTGGCAAGCAATGGTGGAGGTATAAGAGTAGGTTGCATGTTTCTGGGGCGAGTATACAAGGTGAGATGCATCTAGCAAAAGCCTGCTGATTGGTTTGTGGAGTTGTGGATGCCAAAGGTCATCACCCTGACAATAGCTACTTGATTGGCTTCTGGGTAATTGAACAGCTTGTGGTATGAACAGTACTGACAGAAGCCTTTGGATGCTGAAAGGGCAGGTGTTGCCTCTCCCTTTCCATTAAAATACCCAAAGCCACCAGTTTCTGTAAACGTTTGCCATTAACCAGCATAATTTGTGAACCAGCTGCTCTGTGCCACCTGTGAAGAGGTGAGAAAACCTGAAGGAAAAGATCAGAGAACTGAAGGACTTGGGTTGAAAGGAACACCCCATCAAACGCTAAGAACTGGTGCTATTGAATTGTTTCCCCAGTATTTTACTTCCTTTCCATTCTAAATATGTGTTTTTTTTTTGTTTGTGTCTATCTATTTATGTGTGTAGGAGGGTTTTAGAAAGATCTAGTGATGCATTTTGGAAGACCCAATTCAAGAGTGAACTATACGGTAAATGGAAAAGCCCTGCGGAAAATTGATGCACAGAGAGATCTGGGTGTTCAGGTCCATTGTACCCTGAAGGTGGCAACGCAGGTCGATCGAGTGGTCAAGAAGGCATATGGCATGCTTTCATTCATCGGACGGGGTATTGAGTACAAGAGTTGGCAGGTCATGTTACAGTTGTATAGAACTTTGGTTCGACCATATTTGGAATACCGCATACAGTTCTGGTCGCCACATTACCAAAAGGATGTGGATGCTTTGGAGATGCTGCAGAGGAGGTTCACCAGGATGTTGCCTGGTATGGAGGGCGCTAGCTACGAAGAAAGGTTGAGTAGATTAGGATTATTTACATTAGAAAGACAGAGGTTGAGGAGGGACCTGATTGAGGCCTACAAAATCATGAGAGGTATAGACACGGTGGATAGCAAGAAGCTTTTACCCAGAGTGGGGGACTCAATTACTAGTCATGATTTCAAGGTGAGAGGGGAAAAGTTTTAAGGGAGATATCCGTGGAAAGTTCTTTACGCAGAGGGTGATGGGTGCCTGGAACGTGTTGCCAACGGAGGTGGTAGAGACGGCCACGATAGCGTCATTTAAGATGTATCTAGACAGATACATGAATGGGCAGGGAGCAGAGGGATATGGATCCTTGGAAAATAGGCGACAGGTCTAGATAGAGGATCTGGATCGGCGCAGGCTTGGAGGGCCGAAGGGCCTGTTCCTGTGCTGTAATTTTCTTTGTTCTTTGTATTTCTGAATCTTACCTATATGTCAGCAGTTCATAGTGCTTCACCTGTTTACGTTTACTTGTAATATTGTATAATATAGTATAATACACAATATAATAACAGTAATTCTTGTTAAGTACAGAAACCTGGTCCATGTTTTCGGTTAACCCGAGTCCACCAGAAAGGTAAATTGGGTATATTGCATATTTTGATAAAATCTTTACTTTGTGATGACCCTGGGAATAATGGGTAAATAAAAACCGAAAGAACAGCAGATGCTGTAAATCAGGAACAAAAACAAAGTTGCTGGAAAAGCTCAGCAGGTCTGGCAGCATCTGTGAACTAAAAAGCAGAGTCAGCTTTTCAGGTCCAGTGACCCTTCCTCCTCAATTCTGCTACTCCTGTGAGGTATATCAATACATTCTTCCTCCAACAAATTTTACAATTAGTTTTCATAAAAATATAAAAGTGCCTTTCAACAATTTCTTTCACATGGAATGTGATTATCCACATTAAAGAAGGATTCTATTCTGACCTTGAAGCAGTCCTTGCTGCTAGCCCAAAAGAAAAGATTATTTTTCAAGGAGACTTTAATGCTAATATTTCCCATGGCTCTGCTGTATAACCATTGGGTGGCATCAAAAGCCACTGCATTTGGTATCACCTGCTGATGAAAATGTGTTCACCAGGTCTTGTTACAACAAGCACTTTCTTCCATCAGAAATATATATGGAAAACCCACATCAAGGCACCGGGCTCCTGAATTATGTCACTGTTGGGTTAAGGATCTAAGTACCACTCAATTCATCCAGTGAACTAATACCTGCCAGACAGGCCTAAGACTTGCTTAACTGGTGATGAACATTCACTAAGGATCAAGACATGAGAAAGAGGAAGAAAATACATACTTCAGTCCTAAAGCAGGAGAGGAGAATTCCAAGCACAATTCATGACCACTCTGGAAAACCTTCACCCAACCAATTTAAATCTTGAATAGTAGGATCAAATAACGTGAGCTGTACTACAGTTTGTGCTTGGACCCAGTTATTCCCAATACCAGGATATATTCGGTGAAAAGAATGTTGATTTATGTGACCTAGAACAAAAACCAAATGGAACAACCCAAGCCATTCAACAATATGCTATCATGACATATGGAGCTTTTTCGAGATTACTGTGGCCATCTGGTGCACAAAATTTCCGATATTTGCAGGGATGGTCTTTCTCTTAAGGATGACAATATTATCCATCAATGCTGGAAAGAACATTTTCAACTCAACTGTGAATCTACAAAGGCAGCTGTCACTCTTCAGACTATCTCCTTGCATGCTGTGGTAGAATCTAGGGGAGGACCACTTTTGGCTGGAGAGCCACAGCAAACAATCAAATAGTTGAGAAACAACAAAGCATGCAGCCAAAACAGTATTTTGGCTTGTCTTCGACATTTCTCCGCATTTTTAATTTTTAAAAAAATTCATTCATGGGATGAGGGCATCTCTGGCTAGGCAGCATTTATTGCCCATCCCTAACTACCCAGAGAGTCAACCACATTGCTGTGGGTCTGGAGTCACATGAAGGGCAGACCAGGTAAGGATGGCCGTTTTCTTCCCTAAAGGACATCAGTGAACAGATGGGTATTTCTGACAATCGGCAATTAATTCATGGTCATCATTAGACTTTTAATTCCACATATTTTTTTAAACATTGGATTCAAATTCCACCATTCCTGCCATGGTGGGATTCGAACCCAGGTTCCCAGAACATTATCTGGGCCTTTGGATTAACAGTCCAGCGATAATACCACTAGGCCATTGCCTCCCCCTATACATCAAGATTCCTGGCATGCATCCTGCTGATTTGGGAGGTAATTGAACAATTTCCTGCACTCCTCTCGCCCCAAACTTTCAGGAATGCAACAACTCTTTTATAGAATAGAATAGAATAGAATAGAATCCCTACAGTGTGGAAACAGGCCCTTCGGCCCAACAAGTCCACACCGAACCTCGGAGCATCCCACCCAGACCCATCCCCCTATAACCCACCTAATCTACACCTCCCTGAACACTTTGGGGAATTTAGCATGGCCAATCCACCTAACTTGCACATCTTTGAACTGTGGGAGGAAACCAGAGCACCCGGAGGAAACCCACGCAGACACGGGGAGAATGTGCAAACTCCACACAGACAGTCGCCCGAGGCTGGACTCGAACCCGGGTCCCTGGCGCTGTGAGGCAGCAGTGCTAACCACTGTGCCACCGTGCTGCCCTTTTTAGAAGTTCTGCCCACATCCATACAGAAACCTACCGCAAGAACAAAGAAGCAACGCTGTTTCTGCCCGGCACTCTAACCACCTTCAAGAAAGGAGAGACACATATCATGCTATGGAAACTATTGAGACATGGCAGTGAAAACCCTGATATACAATCCCCCTAATCACCTACTTCCTATGACGAAAGAAATCCTCTCAGAGACAGTGTGCTTTAGACCTTTCAGAGTAACCTCTAAACATTGTCTTCGTTGCCATGCAAATAAAAGGAAAAACATCAAGAACAGCACAAGGAACTGTGGTGCATTCATCACCTGGCTAAAGAACTTAACTCAGTAAATTACGAGGTTCTGAGGATTCTGCTCTAAAGTTTTTAAACGTTGAAGAAACTTCATCACAATCCCGCAATAGCTTCATGCTGATACGAACGTAACTGTCTTGAATGGGAGACTTGAAGAAGATCAAAATCTAGACCAGTGTCGAGTAAAGCTGATAGCTTCCAGTACTATTTACAATCTTTCTGACAGTGGCTATTCACCTCAAAGATTGACTGCCACCTAGTGTCAGTGTTAAGTACCACCTAAATTGAAAAGTCTTAACTTCCATCGTTCTAAGCAGAAACTAAACTGACTACCATTGGTTTACATGATCTACAGTGCAGAGAATACTGCAGTATCATTACCTACACTGCACCAGATGTGCAAGCTATTCTCAAACTTATAACATGGGAATAAGGAACAGGAATGAGCAATTTGATTCTTTGAACCTGCTCTGCCATTTAATAAGATCATAGCTGATCTAGTTGTGGTCTCTAGTCTACTTTCCTGCCAGCCACATAACCCTGGACTCCCTTATCTATCAACACAGAAACATGGGAACATAGAAAACTGGAGGAGTAGGTCATTTGGCCCTTCAAGCTTGCTCTGTCATTCAATATGATCATGGCTGATAATCAAAATCAGTACCCTGTTCCTGCTTTCTCCCTACCCTTTGATCCCTTTAACCCAAAGAACTATATTTAACTCCTTCTGAAAACATTAAATGTTTTTGGCCTTAACTACTTTCTGTGGCAGAAAATTTCACAGGCACACCTTCCTCTGGGTGAAGAAATTTCCACTCATCTCAGTCCAAAATGGTCATCATCATAGAA